ATATTTTTCTTCATTTTCTAAATTTTTAAAAATGGGGATGCTATTACTTAGTTAATCATAAAATAGAGGTTATTTCTTTAAAAAAGAAATATGTACAACCAAATTGTGCTTGGCACATTTTTAAGGAACGTAAAAGCAAAGATGACTGTGGTAACCCTTGACCAAATGCAGGAAACATGTTAACACACACACTGAATGTCATTAAAAACTCCAAAAGCAAAGAGCAATAAAGCAATAAAAGAAACAAACCAGATACTACACCCATGGTTTTTCTTTGTGTAAACTTGTGTGTCTTTCCTTTGTTTTGGCCTTATTTTCAAAGGACCTGCCATGAAGAGCTGCATATTTGAAATCATTCAGCCTGTTAAGCAAATGAGACCATTATAAGGAGAGATTTTATGATAGGGAAGAAAATTCCTAAAATCTAAGTTTGTAATCTACATCTAAAGCAGAAGTAGCCTTCTACTTAGGAACACAATCTATCAAGTCAGTAGAAATATGGAACACCTTTTTTTTTTTTTTTTTGGATAGAAACGTAAGTGATAAGGAAGGAATAAAGGTCGGTACACAAAATCTACTTAATCCTAATGTACATGAACCACAGAACATACTGAAACCCAGTCACGATGGCGAACACAGCTTCTATAGGGAATGGCTTTCCGAATTGTGTCCTGAAGGCCAGAGGCTCATCTTCCCCAGCTGCAGTGGGATCATGATGATGGCTCCCTCTCTAACTCCATGCAGGAAGAAGAAGGACGCTCCTATCCCTGATTCCAGGGCTAGCTCCTGCAGCTTGTGGGACTGGGAAAGTGTGTGTGGCAGAGAGGGGAACTGCAGGGTCTTTAAATCTTGGCAGGGATAAGGACATGCTAGTCATCTCACCAGAGAGCTCCCCGGCTCCCTGTTTGTTTCCAGATGACTCCGTCTGCCGCTGGCCTTGTCATCACCAGCATCCAAGAGATCTCACAGCCAGGTCACGCATCTCTCCTTGCAGTACGCCAGCCTTCCCCTACTTTCTTCATGCAGAAAGCAACCCCCTCTCACCACCACCAAAAAAGAGGGAAGCAAACCCAGTGCCCTTTTAAAGCTTTTGTTTGTAGACCTTTTTTTTTTTTTTTTTTTAATGGGGACAAGGGAGGACAGAAATTGAAATAAGCCCCTTCTAGTCTTTCTACCTCATCTATCCTCACCCAAACACAGTAGGGAAAGGCAGTTACCTATAAAGAGTTGTGTCTCTGAGTACACAAATAATAAAGATTTACTTTCCCTGCAAAAAAACAAAACAAAACCAGGACACCGACTTTAGATCATCACCAACATTCTATGAGCTGAAGTACTACAGACTATAAAAAGGAGAAGAGGTCAGTATATGAGAGAAACAGTGAATTTGTTTCTGGGGAGAGGAGCAGTAGGTGTCAAGGGAAAGGAATGTGGTTGAAGATGCTGGCACAGAGCACACGGCCAGCCCTGGAGGGCTGCGGCGGGCCACTGAGCTTCCCCTCTCTGGACCGCCACTTCCCAGCTCACGCGTGATAAGCTGCAGTTGGGAAGGAAGGGGGCGAGCCACCCCATAGAGTGTCAGAAGAACAGGGAGATGACAAGGAGCTCCTGCAGCCATGCAGGCCGTGCTCCGGGGCGCTCACTCCCTACTGGCCCGTTATAGGTCAGGGTCATACCGAAGTGTTCGGAAAATGTCCTGTAGGATTTTAAATTATGCCTCCTACTAAGGACCCCTCCTATTAAAGTCTTGTATTTCACAAAAAATAATCACTGATTATAGTGTATTCTCTCTCATGAAGACCATCAGCAATGTGACCATTTTGAAGAAAGGGAAAAAAAAGATAATCCTCCGAATTCACACATACACACACACTGATCCTAAATTGAAATGAAGGAAAAGTTAAAGGTGAAATAAACCTGTGTGCATATAGCATACCTTTTCCTGTTCCTGTTTTCTTCCGCTTTCCCTTCTTTGGCTCCTTCTCTTTGTGGGAGAGAAAGGCAAGGGCAGATGGAGACATTCAGAGGAACGGGATGACGGACCGCAACACAGAACAAAGGAGCTAGAGCTGAGCTGGACAAAGAGGCCTGCAAAGGCATCTAGATGTGACCCGCACACTAAGGCAACACACACACACACACTCCAGTAATAAATATATTGTCACCGATGGGACCACAGACAAAACTACACTAGGTCGTCACCTTTGCAACCCCTTTTCTTGAAGCCCTCGTGCCATGGTGTCCCTAGATACTACAGCCCTCAGGGGTCATCTTGGCCTGCAACCCGCATCTCTCTAAATTCTTCCTTTCCTTTTTCCTTCTAACTGTCATTCGAAGCTTGCCTAACACACAGTCACCGGTGTTATTCTTAATAGTTGATGACAGCAATTCACATCAAAGGGTGGATAAGTTTTAATGGAGGGTTTGTTTCTATTTTAAAAGAAAGGTAAAATGGAAGGGAAGGGGTTGCTATGCATGTTTGAACTGGGCCTTCAGGGTTCCAAACCTACTCCAGGTCACAAGAGTTCCTAATTCAAGGTTCTTCTAATTTCACCGCCAAGAGAAGAGAGAGCCCTCGCTAGTCTTTTGCTTCACTCCCAAGAACGTCTGATTCCTCCAAAGAAACAGAGAGAGGGAAGAAAGAAAATGCAGGAGAGGAAGAGAGTATCTTTGTATTCCCCATCCTCACAATCCAATAAAGAGGGTGTGGCCACTTCCCACCGCAGCTTGGAGAAGCTAAGTACTTTGGCCAAAGTTCCACTATTAGTCACACACGGAAACACACACACACACACACACACAGAAACACACCTTATGAATATACACCAAATATGTGTGCAAGGTACCAAACTGTACAATTAATTTCACGAAATATGCTCTTTATGAAGTAAATGCTGGTATGTACAAAAGGGAGTAAATATCTTATGTTAAGTTGCCTTTGAAGCTATCAGGTAAGTTCACTTTGTTGGGGGGGGAACCATGTTTTAAAATACTAACATCTGATTTGCCAATCTCATTAGCTATCTATCTTACAATAAGGTTCCCCATTCATAAATGAGAATGAGGTCGCTGTCCCGATGATAAAAGGTAAAAGCTTAAAGCACCTTTTCCCCACAGAGGCTCCATCTCACCGTTCCTCATATTAATTCCTAGAACTACATTTTCCTCCAGGTTCCACAAAAGCAGGGCTCCTGAATTCTTCAGGAGGGATCACAAATTTGGCGAGCCAAGCTCATGGCAACAGGCAGATACAGCTTTCAATCAGCCACCTGAATTATTTTGGGAGGCTGGAGGCATCACCATTTCCAAATGCCATGGTGCCAAGTCAACAGAAAGATTACAGGCAGTTTGAACGAAGCTCTCAGACGATGGACTTCCGTTTTTCTTCCATGCTGCTTATGAAAGAAGGACTGAGCAAAACTTCGATATTTACGTCAAGTCACGACGAAGGGGCAGGTTTGCAAAATCAATTGTGTAGCTTTTATACTCACTGCACATTTACCACATATGTCCTTTATTACACAGTGGAAAACCATTAAATGCACAGTAGTTTTGCCAAGTGGCAGTATGCATTTAACAGCTTTATTCGCTTAACAGCTCTAGCTCTCATTTATTCTGCCATGTGGTACATGGGATTTTATGCATTTAACAGTTTAAGAAGGCTCTATGGTGTTTTCTTTTCATGTATTTCATACTATGGTTGGACATCGTATCTTAGCAAAGTGGATTTCAGTGATTTCACTGATGAGGGAGGAGTAAGAATGACCTGGAAAAATTGCTACATTGAAATTAAAAAGGAAAAAGAGTATTTCAAATCTCTCCAAAATGCCTTGATACCCTATACCTTCTTCTTTATCAACATCTGAAAAATGACTTAGGTAAGGTTACTGCAAAACTATTGGTAAAAAAAGGCTAATCCCGAAATAATATAATGAGTGTAAATACAATATTTAGCTATCATTTTTAAAATGATAATTTAATTTGCATTGAAAACCTTCCTGCTTAATAGAAATACCATATTCAGTAACTCCCTTTCTTTTCAGCACACAACAGAAGATCTGTTAAGGAGATGCTGGACCATTTTACCATTTACATATGTGGGATGAAAACATTTGTCATGCAAGGCCACAGAGGAAATCAAGCTCAGAATCAAAGGACTCTCAAAATTATGCTTCAGCTAACTTTTGTTTCCTCCACCCTGCACTGGATAATTATTCATCCTAAGGATAAATAACCAAGCTCCTCACCCTAACCCCTTTTAGGATAGGGTCGTAGTTATCCCTTTAAACAAACTGAGACAGATAGTGGATCCCATCAACTGTTGCTGTTTTCAGAAATAAAAAACCTAAGCATCTGCTTACCCTTCTCCCTGGAGTGTTCCATTCCCCACGATCCCAGCACTAAGAAACCGTACTGGATAAGCTTCTGTGTTTTCCTGTTATAAATTTTAGCACTCATTCTGGGACCCTCCCCCCCGCCAGATGTGTTTTCTCCTGGAAAAAACAACTGTATTCTACACATAAAAGAAACACCTGACATGGCAAGGTGTCTCTGGGGCTGGAGAAAAGAGGTTATTATAACAAAGTCAGCAGTTGCCCTGGTGGGAATACGAGAGGGGATGAGACAAGATTCCAACTGGATCTCAGGAAGATGCTATTTGGTACATGCTAAGTCTCGCTCATTTATCGAGAGAGACAGAGAGAGAGAAAGGATATATAGCCATGCTTAGAATTATGAGAGAAAGCATTCAAGGCTGATGCTTTTTAGAAAAAAAAGAAAAAAATCTTTAAAAGAAAAAAAAAATCTGGGTTTTAACTTGTCTCTGTTTTGAACTCCAGTGGGAATAAAAGCAAACCGTAGAGCAAAAGGCAGAACATGACAGGTTCCCTAGGGATTATTATTGTTATTATTATTATAGGAACAGATGTATTTTTATTGGTGGGAGGAGGAAAACGGTCTAATTCCAACCCTCGCTTTCGCTCTTTTAAAAAACCACTCACCTGACTTTTATTTGCGGCCACTTTGGCAAACAGGGCTTGAGACACCTTGGCCCTTTTCATCTCCTGTTGGATCTCGTCATAAATGGCAGCTGTGATGTTGACGTTGGCGCCGTCCACCTTAATGGGGAGGTCTGTTGTCGGTGTCGAGGTTTTGGCCTACCAAGAGACCATGAAAATAATAATTTAAAAAGTGCTGCATTCAGCCCAGCCATCTGTGCAGAAATTATCAAAGGATTTCAGTCAGCTGATGCCAAACTGCATTAGCTACAAAGGGACACTTCCTGTCCATTATTCTAATCAGGTTAATTGTGATTGGAAATAATTGCAGTGCATTCCTATAGGACAGGCAGAGTCCTGTCAACCCTGCTCCTTTCCTCATGGTATCCCAGACACTTCCTAGGTAGGAAGGCTACTCTGGGCACCAAACTGGGAGAGATGACCTAACGGCAAAACACGCACATGCAGAACACACACGCAGTTACGTTTCCCTTTCTAGAAATGGCACACCTTGGAGAAAGAGCCAATTCTTCCAGAAAAAATGAGTAAATGGGTAGAGGTCTCTAAATAATAAATTATTACTCAATTTAATGCACTCCCCTGAGTCTCTCTCATTCTTTATTAAAGCTTTACATATGTCATTTGAGTATGTATGGTTGCCCATCATTATCATCATTATGCTACCCAGACAGTCACCTAATTTCACCTAGGAAATCAGTGGAAATGAAACAAAATTTCATTTCATAAAACTAGGCTTCAGAATGCCTTTGATGTGCCGTTTTCATTTCCTTAAACTCATATTGTGGTTTTATGTATTCTGCCGTGCTCGTTTTAATTGAATGATTTCCCATCAGCTTCAGAGACAAATGAAGGACAATATAGAAGGTGTCTGTACTTCTTGGGGTTAAGATCAACCTAAAACATTTGCATCTCCATGATCCAGAAGACTGTCAGGAGCATTTACTCTGGTGTGTAACGGGAGGGGGCTGGGAAGCCTTCTCAGAACCCCTGACCACAGGACTGCAAGAAAAGTCACCCCTGAGTTTTGGTTCCTGAGCACATCTGGCTGATTTGAACTAAACTGCGTATTTTTCTGTCTCCACTTACCCTAGAATCCCAAACCAATCGTTACTCTCCCTCTACAGATGCCCTGAGCTATTCCCCTACTGGATAAGCAGTACAAAGATTTCGAGAAAGACACAGCGTGCAGTCTGGACACTGTAGGATATGCTCCATATCATCTTGAGGCTGGCCTTAATGTCCCCAGGTTTCTGTGAAGCTTTCATTCCTAACAGTGCTCAATGACTTTTGCATTCTCCTCTCTCCCTGCCTCTGACTAATTACCACAAAGTAATAATAACTACAATGTGTGCATACAATGTATGCAGTACTTTTCATTTGCTGGGGCACTCCAGAAAGTGTTTTACTTTTGTTATTTCATTTAATTCTTTGAGGACCCCGGTAAGTTGGACTTTATTATTTTTATTTTACTGAGGAAGACAACTGAAAAGAAAAGAGGATACTTAACTTGCTGGAAGGACATGCAGCACCAAGTGAAGGAACCATGATCTGAACCCAAGTGTTTCAGGCTCCAGACCACAGGCTTGGGGCATTGCGCTAGCCCACCTCCAAAATCTCCAGCGGTTTAGGCTGGAGACTGTTTTTACAAAACATCTTCTTGCCTTCTAGTTTGGGGTCTTACCATAATAATCCAATTTCCTTTTTTTTTTTTTTTAAAGAAATTCCTTCTTCTGCTCAAAATTTCTAGTTAATCCACAGTTCTTTTCCTGTTAAATGCATATTTTAGCATATCAATCCTGCCTTTCTCAACTGAAATTTCTTAATTAGCCCCACTGGTTATCTCATCTTACTTGACTGGACAAATTGTCTCTAGAACCCTCAGGGTTAAAACAAAACCCCTCAAGGCACTATAATATACGGCTAGGAGCTCATGCCTTGCAATCAAAATAACCAGGGTTCAAATCCCAGCTCTACCACTCAGTCATGCAACTTTACACAAATTATTTAACCCATCAAAACCTCCATTTTCTCATCTGTAAAATGGGAATAACAACACAAAATAGTGAGGACTGAATTCATGCAAAATGCTCATAGCATCAGATACTCAGCAAGTGCTCAATAAATGATCACTCTTATCTTTATATTGTTTTATCATTAAGTACATCAAGAAATACTGGCCAACTCAAAGATTATAAAGGACTCTTAAGGTTTAATTTAACATTCTAAATTTCTTCCATTTGTTTTAGATCAATGATAAACTGTTGATGGGGTCTGGGAAACATTCTCCATCAACCCACGTAGGCTGCCTGGGTGTTCTAGAATGTGCCTCCGACTAAAGACTTCATCAGTGGATGCTCCTCTAACATCTGTTCTCACAACGAAAGCTTTACTAAGCAGCTTTACTACTGAGATATGTATGTAAAGAAGTTGGAGTAAGTAGGTAATCAGAAAATGTTTTAAAAGACTTTAATAACTTCCTTTTCTCGATGTTTAAGAGAAAAAGAAGAAAGTTCCAGAGAATGTACAAATGCCAGTGCCATGACTGCATTCTCAAAAATATTTTGAGAAAAAAGATTTTATATGTATTCTCAGAAATCTCAAAAATGTGAAATTAAATGATCAATTTTCCTGTTATTCTTGTCCATAAAAAATTGTCCTGTTATTCTACCTAGGAATTTTCTAGATGAGATTTTTCTGCTCTTCAATAAAGCAAAATATTGACCCTGATTGTTTTCCCTGGTAAAATGGTCTGACCCTGAAATCTATCAGGTCTTTGGAAAGATGTCTAAGAAATAATCTCACTAGAAAAATACTACAAAGAATAAACTACCCAGACTTGAGTTATTTTTTAACAAGTAGAAGTGACTTTCTGAGTTAGTTAAATGGCCATGAAGCATGGCTGGACTCTCTATCATGATTTATTGGGCTTCAAAAGTGGCAAAATTATTGGTGAATTTAATAGAAGTAAATATTAGTGCAAATTAACAACTCGTCCAACTCAATAGCTCAATATGTACACCCCAAGATTTAAAAAAAATAAATAAAAAGAAATAAGCTTGGTTACATTCATCCAAAGTAAGCAGTCAAGAGACTTATTTTTGGTTTAACAGTAACTAAAACCTGTAATTCACCAAAGACTAAAGTTTAAGTATCACAATTTGGCACTGCACGATAGAAAATGATCTTCAATTAAAAATCTATTGCAGAGCAGAAAAAAAACTATGATGTGTGAAAAAAATGGATATACTTGAAAAAGCTCAAATATTTCTACTAGAATAAAATTCTGTTTCTATGTTGAATCAGTTCCTTGGAATCTACTAGAAAACACTCATAACACCAAAATCATAGTATCTATGCAAAAAAGCAAAACAAAACAAGAAACAAAGCAAAACAAAAAAACCAAACCCAGACAAACCTTTGGTTTCAAACTACCCATTTTTTTCTGATTTGTACAAATGTGTACCTGTTAAATATTTGTTTTGAGATAAAACTTGCAGCTATCCTAGCAACAGTGAATGAGATGGCTTGATCATAAATCCATTGACCAGTAAAAGTTTGGGGGAAATAGAAAGCAGGTTACAGATGAATGGGCTCCCATGTGAACTGGAAAGACTGCTTGGCTGACTGGAGACCTTGACCCCTTAATAAAATTAGGATCTCTGAAGCACACAGCATCGCTAGATGCAAGCATTTGTAGGAAGACCAGATCAGAAGGCTATTGAAATGTGCAAAAAGGAGGGAAGGAGAGCTGAGTCACTGAGTTCTGCAGGGAGGATCAGCCTAGGAAGGGAAACCATTAAGGCCTACCTTCCACTGCTGTGTTCAGCGCTCACTGAAGGATCCCCCAAACATTCTGATCTAGCCACTGCATACGCAGGCTTACACCACACACAGAGATCCCCCCCATTCTGTCTTTCTTCAGATTGCACAAAGAAGAGTTTGGACTACTCTACTTGTCCCCTGTCCCCAACCCTAACCAACATCCCCCAACCCCCTCTATCCTCCCCCCCCCCCACTCAGTATCCAAATAAATATACAGTTTAAGGAAAAGCAGTGTTCTTGCCATGCAAGCTCAGCCTCAACTCGAATCCCCTGGTTCCGTCTTAGATAACTAAGCAGCCGTGTGGAAACATTTTGGAGCCTAACCTTCCACCCGTGCTTGTCCCTTCTGTGTGGAAGAACAGTGTTTTTCTAAAGGGACAGGAATACCACAGGACACAGGAAAGGATAAACCCTATGACATGACCCGGAGCAACATGATCAGTGAGTCAAGAAATCCTCGAATTAAGTCTCTCAGTTTCCGAGAGAAACCCAGTATCAGTGAAGGCAACATGTTTCCAAGGCCCAGAGTGAAAAGTCAGCGGAGCAAATATCTCACCTGAGGGGTTCGGGAGGAGCTGGGACTGCTAGAGGCTGACGAGACCATGCTCACATTGGGGTTCATGCTCCGCTCTCTCTCGTCCTGGTATATGCGATCCCGCTCCACTTCCGGCAGATTGAGGAAATTCTGCATGGCCCTCAAGTTTACTAAGAGAGACTGAGAGGCTGTCCGAGGGTCTTCTTCCTTACGCAAAATCTCAGACAACAATCCCTGATTACATGGAAGACAAAAAAACAAGAAAACAGGCCAAGTCATATCTGCAGGTATGTGTGCGGTTTCCGGCACCTGCCCCCCTCCCCCCTTATTTGTTCGGTGTAACCAGCTGGCGGTGATGTCAAGAACCTCGGTCTCATTGCCGAGGGTTCCCCAGCAGGGAGATTTTGTGAGGATGTGCTTGCCTTCCAGGGCTGTGCCTTATTCTGGACTGTTCTATTCTGACACTTGATCATCGCTGTAATAATCGTCAGCACACAGACATGCCAGCTAGCAAGGTAGGCGCTCGGAAGGCTTGTGGGGCTGCAGCTACCATCAGGTGCCTCCTACAAGTATTTCAGGAACTGTTAGAACTCTCTCTGCTTGAAACTGGGAACACTTGGCAGTCCTGCTCAGCTTTACAAATCTGCCAAGTTTGGTAAATTTAGTTCCGACATTTAAACAGCATGGGAGATTTACATCGACTTAAAAAAATAAAAAAAAGTTTGGCTGAATTTCTGTGTGACCGGCCACTGTTTTCAATATAGACGTTTCTCATGGCAAAAAAAAAAAAAAAAAAAGACACAAAGCAAATGGCCATTACTTGTGTTAACCCTGTGAAAGCTTCCCAAACCACACATACAATCGGTACCATTGTATATGTACCTGACGGCATCCAAACCTTTTTTCCCCCCCAGGATGGGGAGCAGCTGATCCCACCATTAAGGCCATGGAAATACAGTCACATCTGGTGAGGGATCAGAGCACACATCAGAGAATGCCACATACAGGCCAGGATAATTTCTGAATCTGTGACTCATCCATATAGAAAGCTTTAAATAGGAATCTACTGTTTTCATGTGCTCTGATGGCAGGGAACTCGCAAAGAAAAGGAAAATGCTGACGTGTCTGGAGAAAGGTAGTATGCACTCAAGAAAATGGCTGGAACACAGAAGTCATTTGGGCAAAAGCTAAAACATGTCTATTCTGCACTCGTGTTAGATGATCACCCAGAGGCGTCCCTTTACACTTCCAACTCGGGCCATCTCTTCTGGGAGGAGCATGAGACCAGAGTCTAGGATTATCCTCCAGGAAGAGCTAAAATGTTCACCTCTGTATCTTAGAACACATGGGGCAACTCCAAATCGTGAAAAGTAGATGCTAAAGACAGTTCCACTGAGGGGAATGTTAATGCAAAGAAAACACTATCAGGTTTGTAAAATATGGCTTCAATTTAAAAAGGTGTTGGAAGCAAGAAGAATATACAAGTTCTGGTTGGGCAGAAATCTTCAGGATAAGAGAGACAATTTTTAAAAATAAGTAATGCATTATAATGTAGTAAAGCAAATGTCACAAGAATGTGCATCACACGACGATCAGCACTCCAAGGAGGTAACCACCACTCAAAATACCATGCAAGACAATTTATAAGGAATCGACAAGCGGTATGTATGCCACATGATAGCTCTGCAAATGGGTGTCACGTTGCTTTGATTAGAAAGTCTTTGCAAATAAGAATAAAATATGCCATACAATGAGGCTAGAAGATATGTTCATAAGCTGTGTCTGTGGGCACGCATGCCCAAAGAAAGGAAAAGGTAGGACATATATGTGAATATACCGTTATCGGTAAAATGATTGTAAGAAAATCCAGATTTCTTATCATGCTTTAAGAAGCAAGAGACATCTGTCTTCCAGAAAATGTTATACAATCAAGGTATGGGTTCTTTTTTTGATATTAAAAGTCAGTTCGGCCTTAAGTTATCTTACTTTCCACTTGCATTAAGCAACTTGAAATATTAATTATGAGTTTGTCCTAACATAACAAAAATCTCCCAATTAATATGTAGAAGGGCAAGAGAGAAATGGATTTAAAATCAATACCAATAAGACACGAAAACGGATGTTTTCTGAGCTTTCTTTAGTAATGAACTCTGCACAGAGAGGATGAGTTGGTCCTTGGTCCCCTCCCTCCTCCTCCTCCTCTCCCTTTCTCTCTCTCTAGCATAAGCAACTTGAGCATTTTAATAAATCTCAGACTACGAAATTTGGAGGAATTTTAGGGTCTGCCTGGATATATTCTTTATGCTTGTCTGACAATTATAGTTATGGTATCTCAAAGGCAAAATTTGTAAAAGTATTCTGTGAAATTATTTTTGCAAGGGGAAGGGGAGATCTTAACATACAAAATGGTGAAATAACAAAAACTGTTGTTATTATTATTGTTATTAACTGTTATAACTGTTATCATTATTGTTCAAAATAGCAAGTTTGTTCACGCCTAATCAATAAAAAAATTATCCCGAGGTCTTTTACTCGTTTCTTGTTTGGCTTGGTTGGCTTTATTTTTCCCTCACACAGAAATTGTGGAGCTCCTTCCCTTAATTTTTTTTACACGTTGGACAACCTTACAGGGAAATGAATCCATCTCTAAGAAAAATCAAGACAAAGCATCCTTGTAAATGATTCTGCTCATCAGCATCATTTCCGAAGTGAATGAGACACAATGTTTGTATTTTGAAGGCCTGGGGGAATACACAATTGCCTCTGTTTCATTTGCCTAATTGAAGATAAAGTCTCAAACCAACAAGGTAGCCAGTGCTGCCTCCATGGACTGCCCCAGAGAAGGAGAATACTGTTCTAAATTATTTACTTAAAGTCTCATCTGTGTAGCCCTGGTCCCAAAGCAGATTTTTTTTTACCTCAGACATTTTCAATAACAAGTGGCTCACTGGTGAGCACAAGAAGAGTTTTAGTTGTTTTGTTGAGTCTTTTTCATTTTGGTTATTTATATGCTCTTCACTCCTTCAACTGGAATTTTTAAAAATATAGTCCAAGTTCCACGGGCTCATGAATGTAGAGTGAGTTTATTTAGTTAGCTGAAAATCGTCACGGGAGGAAAAAAAGAATCAGAAGAAAATCTGTGGCATAATTTATACCACAAACCACCTTATCTAATTATCAGGGTAAGTAAATGTTTATCATATTGGAACTGTCTTGAATTGAACATGAATTAATAATTTATCTCACATAAATATTCCTAAAGCCCTTGCCACTATGTTATCTGGCATTTTAATGACCAACCAGCCGGGCAGGAGGTGTCACTTGAACATTCCCATTACCCAGCCTGAGAATCAGAGGATGCGACATGGCACCTGGGCGCTGGGAAAAAAAGGATGTACCTTGATGAACAGAAAGGTCATGAATATTGAGAATATGAAAATTGAGGGAAATTAATAAATTAACCAGGATATTGCTTATTACATTTTCATATCAGTAATCATATTAAAACATATTGCAAGTCTTGAGTAAAGTGGTCATTAAGAATTTTCCTCATTGTAGGCAACGGAGCCTTCTCGAGGGAAAGATTATAACAATTCCCAGCATGGTGTTAGCTGAGGTTATGTAAGAGCAGGAAACATGTTGACTGCAAAGGAGCAGAGGGAGCATCTGCACAGGGAAGAAAGATACCTTGCACGATAGCTGGTGGGTTACAAGCCACTGAAAAAAGAAGGGAGTCAGGCAAAAAGAACCTCAAATTGGCCTTCTCCTTAGCCTTTTAATGGGGGATTTTGTAAGTTTTATATTATTTCCAGTACCCACAAAGAATATATGACGTTGACAGAAAATTCAATAAAAACAAAATAATTAAAAGCACAAGAGATAATATAATGCCATCTAGCTCGGGGGCTAATATAGGCTATCTCCACTCCACAAACAAAACAAAGAATTAGGGCAAATTTTTAAAATGAAAAATGATGTACTTATTATTTCTAGTATTTTTCTTTTTTCTTTTTTTTTTTTTTTAAGAGACACAGAGGGAGGCAGAGGCAGGGGGAGAAGCAGGCTCTGCATGGAGCCAGGAGCCCGATGTAGCACTCGATCCCAGGACCCTGGAATCATGACTTGAGTTGAAGGAAGATGCTTAATACCAGGCACCCTCTAGTATTTTAAATAATATTTATTTGCAACAAACTAAATGACCTCATAGTTTCTGAATCTGCAATTTCTGCTGATGAGCTTTTTGGTTTATGTTATTATGATTTCCATATTTCCTCAACATTTTATATAGTTTGCCCCAGATTATTAGTGTATAAAATCGATGCTGATATTCAGAAATGCTTGGGAAACATTACCACGACTGGCTCTATAAAATTTAGTTCTAAGTTTCTGCACTAGCCCTTGAGGCCTTATCTGAAACAGGTGAGAAATTGCTTATGATGGGCCCTTAATTCTTCAATGGAGCAGAAGAGAACCAGAACCTGGACTGCATTCTAGGAACACGGAGCCCAAGCCTCTCAGACCTTCCCGGGACTGGCAGGAACAGTTGAGGTCATGACTGCCTAGGTTTTCACAAGATACTCATTCTTCACATCTCCCAGACTCCTGGTAATTTTGTAGGTTCTATCTCCCAATGATTATCTAGGGAACCCCCAAACTCTATGTACCTTTTACCAAAAAATGACAGACCAGTCTATTAATTCATTTCTTATTTATGATTTGGTATGAACTTCAGAAAGGGATGAGGATATTAGGAAGACACAGATTCCACTGCCAAGGAATTCACTGTATGTTGGTTTATAGAAACACAACGTAGAAGTTGACAAGTGTCATAAATTCCAGAGAGAATGAGTGCCGGCTCCGTTCACAAGAGGGTAAAAGTACTGCCAAGTGCAGGACTCGGTGAAAATATTCGGAAGAAGTGGGACTTAACCTGGCTGGAATCTGAAATACACATAGAACATGGATATAGAGATAATGAGGAGACGAGGCAAAGGGGGAGAAGCAAGGGAGGGACAGGCCTGTGTTAAAACACTGTTAGAAAAAGAAAGAGCATGACTGGTCCAGAATGCCAAGAGAAGTTTCTGTTTCTTTAAAAGCTTAAAAAAAAAAACAGTACAAAAAACTGATAGAGCAGTAGAAGACATTTTGAAGTGAAAATACTAGAGTCCACATTAATATAATTCCAAACTACTGGAGTATACACAAAATAACCGGCAAACATTACCCCCAAAATG